CTGAGGGAAATCCCAAAAAATGCCCATTAGCCAAGTGAAAGGAAGAGGCGCAAAAACGCCGGATAATGTACATTAGTTGAGAAACAAAAATGGATGTTTAGACACACACCTGGGACATCACAACCTACTTGAGGAAATTTTCATTCTGCTTGCAATATACGTTCAATCGAGCTTAAACATACAGTTGAATAATACGTTTGTGCGAAACTTAACAAATACTGTGAGATCAGCTAGTCATTATCCAAGATGTTATTTATGAGAATTCAGAAATTGAACACATCACACTACACCAAGATATCAGTCTATGTTTACTAAATGTAGCTAACTACCATTTGAAAAACTATGAGTAGTAAAAAAAATTAAAGCAGTTAGTAAACTTCCGAAGTAAAAAGTATTGTAGGTCATCCACTCTGAACCTGACCTCACTAGTTTTGCTAAACTTACCCCTAGGTGAGGGCGTTCGGTCAAGCATACATATCAAGTCGCGTTTATGTACACTGGGCAGTGCACCTCTTATGATGACTGGTAAACTTAGATTCCATAGATATAGAGAGTTCATCATTTCCAACTGATTCACCCAATCTTGCCTTACTTTTCAGTGGACAACGAAGTGACCGCCACCAAAAGATTGATGTTAGCAAGCTGGTTGCAACTTCTGTTGCAAGTAAGTATCGAACCGAGCTAGCCTCTAGGTTAGCTACCATTCCACCGAAAAGTATAGATGAGCATTGGTTGCAATTGCATGACGCCATGAAAATGGCGGGAACAGTCAGTCGTGGGTTTGCGAAAGGTCCCGCTTTTAAGCACTGGGTTTCTTCTGGTTCCTTACAACTCATTGAAGCTCGTCGGTCTACTCCGGGTGACCGTGAGTTTGACCATAAACGAAGGATGTTACGTAAGGAAATTGGGCAAAGCTTGCGTAAGGACCGAGAAGTCTGGTGGTCGAAGCGTGCTAATGAGCTGGAAGCAGCAGCTGCATCTGGTAACTACCGGAAGCTCTTCCAGCTCATCCGAGCCACTGGCAGCAAGAAGTCTGGTGTGAGTGAAACAGTCTGCAAGGATGATGGGATGCCAATCACTAACATCCCTCGACGTCTTGGACGGTGGGCAGAATTCTTCGAAGGACAGTTCAACTGGCCTGCTGCTCCGGCAACATCGGTCAAACTGTCCTGCCCTCCATGGCCGGTGACGACTGATCCACCAATCGAGGAGGAAGTCCGCAAGGAACTCCAACTCTTGAAACGTTACAAAACACCTCGCCAAGATGACTTACCTCCGGCTCGTTTTAAAGATGGTGGTGACTTTCTGGTTCAGAAACTGACTGTACTAATTGCAAAAGTCTGCGAACTAGAGAGTGTACCAACGTCATAAAATGAGTCGATAGTTGTCCCTATCTTTAAAAAGGGTTCACGTCGTTCCTGTAACAACTATCGGGGGATAAGTCTACTTCCGATTGCGTCCAAGCTATTGGCTTCCATCACACTTCGTAGGTTGTTCAAAACCCGAGAAAGATTGATTCGCGAGGAGCTGGTTGGTTTTCGTTCCGGTCGAGGATGTATTGATCATATCTTCACCCTCCGCCAAATGTTAGAACACCATCATACTTATCAAAGGTCAACAATCGTAGTGTTTCTTGACATCAGGGCTGCCTTCGATTCGTTGGATAGGACTGTTCTCTGAGATTGTCTATTGAAGAAGGGTGTGTCTGGGAAGTTTATTAACATCCTAACAGCCCTATATACAAACACCTCAGGCAGAGTGAGGGCATACAACCACCTCTCTCCATTGTTACATTCAAGCAGTGGGGTTAGACAGGGTTGCCCAATCTCACCATTCCTCTTCAACTTTGCCATCGATGACATTCTGGAAACAGCTCTGATGGATGTAAGTAATGGTGGTGTGGATCTGTTGCCTGGAGAAAGACTTCTCGACCTTGAGTATGAGGACGATATTGTCTTACTGTGCGATAATGCCCAAACCATGCAATCCGCACTCAATCAGTTGGCAATCAGTGTCCGTAGGTATGGTATGTGCTTTGCACCTTCGAAGTGCAAAGTACTTCTACAAGACTGGCAGGATTCCAATCCTGTACTCACCCTGCGTGGTGAGCAGATAGACGTAGTTGAGAAGTTCGTGTATCTGGGTAGCTGCATAAGTGGTGGTGGGGGTGTGAGTGATGAGATCAATGCATGTATAGTGAAAGCCAGAGCGGCTTATGCCAATCTGGGCCATCTTTGGCGCATTCATGATGTTAGTCTGGCTGTAAAAGGTCGGATCTACAACGCGTCGGTCAGAGCAGTTCTGCTCTATGTTTGTGAAACCTGGCCTCTCCGAGTTGAGGACGTTAGACGACTCTCTGTGTTCGATCATCGCTGTCTCCGAAGGATTGCTGACATCCAGCGGCAACACCATGTCAGTAATGCAGAGGTTCGGCATCGTGTGTTCGGGCACAGAGATGATAATTCAATTGGTGTCACCATCTTGAAACATCGAATTCGGTGGCTTGGACATATTCTACGAATGTCGTCCCAGAGAATTCCACATCGTGCATTATTTGCCAACTCTGGGACTGGTTGGAAGAAGCGGAGAGGTGGTCAGTGCATGACATGATGTCGTGGTATGAAAGAAAGTTGCAAAGGACTGGCTTCTGTCGGTCCTTCACGACTCCCTGGTTGGGGTCTGAGAGATGGTGCTACACAGTGGCTAGAGACGTTATCAGATATGGCTCAGAATAGAAGCCAATGGCGATCCTGCTGTAACCTTCTTTTACTTTCTTCATAAAAAGTGGTTGTGTCTCCCTTACCTGAAAGATTCCTTCTGATTGTACCTTTCCATTCCCCCATTTTTACCATTATTACTACACCACCTTACATCAATCTCTTCCTTATTATTCTCTTTTTTCTTTCCCCTTAAGTTCTCATTGCTTTGTGTGGCGCATTCTTGTACCAATATTTATGTGTTCAAATAAATAAATAAACTTAGATTGATTAAACACTAATTCATTTCTCAGATATATCTTCCAATCCCTCAACTCTTGCCTTCTGTGTCAGTGTTTTCCAGGACCATTTTATTAGAAGTCCCGGAGGACAGTGTTATTAAGCATTGCATACCGCTGATATCATTCGACATATTTGATCACACACTTGATTTCAGAGTAATTTATTCCTGACATATTCTGTAGACCCTTTCATTGCATACAGACCTTAAGAAAAGTAGCGATGATTTGTATCCTACATGTAGTCATAAGGGACAAAAAACGCCACTCTCTGCAGTTACTCAGCGTCGTATCCACAGCTTGGTTGTTATACGGAAAATCCCTAATAATTTTTCTGAAATTAGAGTTGGAACCAAATCTCTGTGCCTTATGATTACATTACTAAAATAGCTATCAAGAAACTTATGTATTCTTTATTGAGCCATTCGAACTGAGAAGCGTGACCTACATCCTTTAGCGGTTTTTCGACCATGTATCCCCAGGCTTTTATTTACTGCATGCATACGCTGAGGATTTTTTGATTGCAAGTTTGTACAAATCAATATACTGTAATCACTATCTTAATTCCAAAAGATTTCAAAATACTGGAATACAGTAAACATCCAGCGATGCTCATTTCAGCCAAATCATAGGACCTACATGACCGCTATGTCGACCCCTAAGGTATCTGCCTGAAGAAAGGCAGTTATTGTGGAACAAAATCAAGATTATAGTATGATCAATCATATCCGGCCAAATTAAATAGCTTTGCGTAGATGTGAACCTTGTACTGTAGCAATCGTTCATGACCATCAATTTATCCAGACATTCTGGAAATCAGCCATTTTGCAGCTGGTGACAAGTCGCTTGTCCTCAAACCTAATAAGTCAACCAGTGGGTAAGAAACTGTCGTTGTATCTGTAGAATCCAAACTACGGTTTGGATAGCAGAATAGCCGACCGGGGACTTTAGACACGCGCTCTTTCCCGTCGAAATCAAAACAAGTAATCGGGTAAATAGCGCGTGTCTAAAGTCCCCGGTCGGCTATTCTTCCATCCAAACCGTAGTTTGGATTCTACAGTTCTAAACAAATATTACCACCCGGCTATTCAACCAATAATTGTTCAATCAACCGAATCAGTCACAACAGGTGAACGTTATTCTATCCTGACTGGATAGAACGCACACAAAAGGAGGAACAAATCAATATGGCTACCGCCAAGAACAAGTGTCAAGTAAAACAACACAGATGCAGTTCAGGAAGAAACACAAACTTAGTGAGTCCGTAAAAAAACTATAATAAAAAATACAAGTATTAACAATTCAAATGTAATCAAAAGACAACAGTGTACAACTAAGGGGATCAATAGGAACAAAGTACAAGTATGTACATGGAGGGATTTTCACCAACACACAAAACATTCAAAATGGATCTTACAGTATCAAACGACTGCAATTCTTTTCATTACGAAGCCACTAATATGGAGCTCCGAAGAGCACCTGGATTATTTATAACCACAGGAATCATAATAGTGAAGTTAGTTTATAGTGGGTTAAAGGCATAGACCATATAGCTAGTTACCATTGCATCCCCTAATTTTAAATTGAAAATATGCTAAACGGTATCCCACAAAGAGACAGCGAATCTGACAACACACTATGTTCAGCCTTTTATGGAACCCACAGTTAAGCTGCAATTAGGATGGGTTGCTTAACATTAAGATAAATGTTTTGCCTTTGTTAGTGGATTATTTATTAGTGAAAAGCGATTTTACGAAACTTAAAGAATGAAACGGTTTGTTAGAATCGATATGCAAACGGAAATGTTAAATGCTGAAACTGCCTTCGTCTTACAAATTGTATAAATACGTGTGTAGGATCATCGTTTCAGGTTACAAATAAAGATCGCAAGCAGAAACAGCATATAGAAACAAAAGCTTTCAAATACGTTTCAAACGTATGTATTTACATACAATCAAAATCTTATAATGTGAGCAAACACATAACTAAATCTGGGTTTCGTCAATTAGTACATATTGATCGCATTATTGGAACGAGGCATTTTTATACGATCCAGATTTTTTATTATTATATCATGCAAGGTGGCCTGCAAATTTTAAAACAGTAGAAAAAATAGGCTATTATATATTGATGCATGATATATTAAAATAAATCTACGTCATCATTCTTGAATGAAAAACTTTCTCATGTCGTAAGCAACCTTCAATTGATAATCATTAATTTGGTTATAAATCTCTAATAAATTAAATAATATTAAGCAATAATTGAATTTACTATCAACTCTCGAGTTTAACACATTTTACAAGTCCGGTTTATACCTGAATACATATGTTAATAAAAGAAGATTCTACCTTGATTTTGTAACTTTTGAATTCACAATAAACATATTCGCCAATCTTAGCTACTGGGTGTTTAGATGTTTTCTAATTGAAAAAAATTAGATGAAGGTATATGTTTTTCATACTTTACAAAAACATCTAATCACTGGATAATACTGAAAGTTAGACACTGAATAAAAGGTACATGTTCGACAAAGTATTTTACAAAAATGAATCGACCGAATGACAAATACATGTTATATACGAAACAACTATTCACTTAGAAATATATTGGAAGAACAATTAATTGTCAATGTTAGACATTTACTTTGTGATTAGTTAACTTGTACTTTTAAGAAACCAGATTAAAACTCCGTTTTTCTGGAGGCACTGACAAATAACTGTAAACAAGTTCTTAGACGCAAACAAATTAAATTAGATAGACGGAACACAGTCTAACAACATTTATACAGAGTGACAACATTGAAGTCTGAAATAAAAACAGATTTTACTCAACAGTAAGAAAATAGCCGTATTATTCACCAATAATCTAACGAATGATATTTTTCTTTGGTACAAACCACTAGCACGACGCAAATTTAGTCCTTTTTAATGAATAACCAGAAGAGACATTTATGAGACTGACGTGAAAAGAAAGTTCTACGAAAGTCAGAGATAATCAATATTTAAATCGATTTAGTCGTTCTTGAAAGTTGCGTGAACTGCTATTGCCGATTTGATTTGAAGTCTATTCAGTTCTACGGGATTATTAGGTGGTTTGTCCAGACCTATTTTTTGACTGATCGCACATAAAGATTCTCGTGTTGTTGCTTTGTACTGTTTAAACTTGGATTAACTTCGACTTGGTTATTTATTCTCTGAAGAAGTGGCTTACACTGAGTCACGAAACGTCATAAAATATAATTTTTCTACTTATTGGGATATTACAAATATATTAATTTATTTATGACAATCTAACCAATGTTCAGTTTATTCAAAATTATCAAATCAAACCTTGGTAATGATACCCATAATCATTATGTATTGAATAAATCGCAGCCCCCTGAATGCCCTGGTACGGCCGAGAGTGGGGAGAGTCCGCTCTCCCTCTCGAAATACTCTCACACGGCCTCGCGTATGCAGCCTCTGTCAGGGAAGTCCTACTCATTGCCTTCTCGTGGCGGGGGTGTTGTTTACGAAAATGAGAGGACGAAAAGCGAATGTCCGGCGCTTTAACCGGATTCCAAACCAAATCGATGGTGCACATGGGCTCCAGTATCCTGCGGGAACAAATGGCGTATGAACCAATCGTTGGTCACCGGCTACCATGGGATTGCATCTCCTTACGATGCTCCACTGCCTTGTGGGTTAGACCTTTAGGTCAAAGGCTCGGGGTGTGGCCCCCTAAGATAACCACCTGCTTCGGTTTGGGCACCCGGGCAGTATCACAGCCCACACATAAATGATGAACTCTTTATGTCTATGGAAATTATTTTTCTCGCTTCGAAAAACAACCAATTGATTCAAATTATTAGCATTACAATTATTGTCATTATTATTATTATTATTATTATTATTATTATTATTATTATTATTATTATTATTTTCCACATTATTCACCCTCTTTTAAACTTATTCAGCGGCTCGTCTTTGGTGGAAATCCGACTGTATCTAAACGTTCTCGAGTCACTGTCCGGTTGAAAATTGTATGTTACCATCGAATATGAGTACTGAAGCAGTGTTTCTGAAACCACGTGCATCATTCAAACTGGCTGCCTTCAACGTTCGCACATTTATGCACGTCGGACAACAGATAGGGCTGGCTATGTCTTTGGAAAGTCTTAATATTGATGTTTGTTGCCTATCCGAGACCCGTATTCAAGACTCTGGCGAAGTACTACAAATTCGATCTCCATCTGTCGCTTCGAAAAGCTTGTTTTACGTGCACTTATCCGGGGACCCTGTGGCATCTTCGTCTGGTCTTGCTGGCGTTGGTGTCGCACTAAGCGCTAGAGCTGAGGCAGCACTAATCGATTGGATCCCCATTAACAGTCGGTTATGTGCTGTTAGATTAGAAAGTTCCATCAAAGTGAGAAGAAATCGTCGCGAGAAACGATGTCTTTTCGTCATCTCCGCCTATGCCCCGACAGATTGCAGCCCGGATGCAATCAAGGATGAATTCTACCTCCAGTTATCTGTTCTTCTCCAGAAAGTGCGTTCGACAGATATTGTAGTACTAGCCGGAGACTTAAATGCTCAGGTCGGGCGTCTAGGCACAGAAGAGAGTCGTTTAGGTGGCCGATGGGGACTCGTTGGTCGCAGGTCAGATAACGGGGACCGTCTACTGCAACTTTGCACGGACCACAACCTGTTTCTGGCTAGCACTAACTTTCGGCACAGTCATCGCCGATGTGCCACCTGGCGTCCTCCCTCTGCACCCCATGCCTGGACTCAGATTGATCACATCGCGATCAGCTACAGCTGGCGTGGTTGTGTACAAGACTGCCGCTCCTTCTGGAGTACCTATCTGGACTCTGACCATGCCTTGGTCTGCGCCAATCTTGCCTTACTTTTCAGTGGACAACGAAGTGACCGCCACCAAAAGATTGATGTTAGCAAGCTGGTTGCAACTTCTGTTGCAAGTAAGTATCGAACCGAGCTAGCCTCTAGGTTAGCTACCATTCCACCGAAAAGTATAGATGAGCATTGGTTGCAATTGCATGACGCCATGAAAATGGCGGGAACAGTCAGTCGTGAGTTTGCGAAAGGTCCCGCTTTTAAGCACTGGGTTTCTTCTGGTTCCTTACAACTCATTGAAGCTCGTCGGTCTACTCCGGGTGACCGTGAGTTTGACCATAAACGAAGGATGTTACGTAAGGCAATTGGGCAAAGCTTGCGTAAGGACCGAGAAGCCTGGTGGTCGAAGCGTGCTAATGAGCTGGAAGCAGCAACTGCATCTGGTAATTACCGGAAGCTTTAACAGCTCATCCGAGCCATTGGCAGCAAGAAGTCTGGTGTGAGTGAAACAATCTGCGAGGATGACGGGACGACAATCACTAACATCCATCGACGTCTTGGACGATGGGCAGAATTCTTCGAAGGGCAGTTCAACTGGCCCGCTGCTCCGGCAACATCGGTCAGACTGTCCTGCCCTCCATGGCTGGTGACGACTGATCCACCAAATGAAACGGAAGTCCGCAAGAAACTCCAACTCTTGGAGCGCTACAAATCACCTCGCCCAGATTAATTACCCCCGGCTCTTTTTAAAGATGGTGGTGACTTTCTGGTTCAGAAACGGACTGTGCTAATTGCAAAAGTCTGCGAACTAGAGAGTGTACCAACGTCATAAAATGAGTCGATAGTTGTCCCTATCTTTTTGACTAAGGAATTGACGACGTTGTTTACCAAGGTTTGGGAACTAGGGAATGTACCAACGTCATAAAATGAGTCGATAGTTGTCCCTATCTTTAAAAAGGGTTCACGTCGTTCCTGTAACAACTATCGGGGGATAAGTCTACTTCCGATTGCGTCCAAGCTATTGGCTTCCGTCATACTTCGTAGGTTGTTCAAAACCCGAGAAAGATTGACTCGCGAGGAGCTGGTTGGTTTTCGTTCCGGTCGAGGATGTATTGATCATATCTTCACCCTCCGCCAAATGTTAGAACACCATCATACTTATCAAAGGTCAACAATCGTAGTGTTTCTTGACATCAGGGCTGCCTTCGATTCGTTGGATAGGACTGTTCTCTGAGATTGTCTATTGAAGAAGGGTGTGTCTGGGAAGTTTATTAACATCCTAACAGCCCTATATACAAACACCTCAGGCAGAGTGAGGGCATACAACCACCTCTCTCCATTGTTACATTCAAGCAGTGGGGTTAGACAGGGTTGCCCAATCTCACCATTCCTCTTCAACTTTGCCATCGATGACATTCTGGAAACAGCTCTGATGGATGTAAGTAATGGTGGTGTGGATCTGTTGCCTGGAGAAAGACTTCTCGACCTTGAGTATGAGGACGATATTGTCTTACTGTGCGATAATGCCCAAACCATGCAATCCGCACTTAATCAGTTGGCAATCAGTGTCCGTAGGTATGGTATGTGCTTTGCACCTTCGAAGTGCAAAGTACTTCTACAAGACTGGCAGGATTCCAATCCTGTACTCACTCTGCGTGGTGAGCAGATAGACGTAGTTGAGAAGTTCGTGTATCTGGGTAGCTGCATAAGTGGTGGTGGGGGTGTGAGTGATGAGATCAATACACGTATAGTGAAAGCCAGAGCGGCTTATGCCAATCTGGGCCATCTTTGGCGCCTTCATGATGTTAGTCTGGCTGTAAATGGTCGGATCTACAACGCGTCGGTGAGAGCAGTTTTGCTCTATGCTTGTGAAACCTGGCCTCTCCGAGTTGAGGACGTTAGACGACTCTCTGTGTTCGATCATCGCTGTCTCCGAAGGATTGCTGACATCCAGCGGCAACACCATGTCAGTAATGCAGAGGTTCGGCATCGTGTGTTCGGGCACAGAGATGATAATTCAATTGGTGTCACCATCTTGAAACATCGAATTCGGTGGCTTGGACATATTCTACGAATGTCGTCCCAGAGAATTCCACATCGTGCATTATTTGCCAACTCTGGGACTGGTTGGAAGAAGCGGAGAGGTGGTCAGTGCATGACATGATGTCGTGGTATGAAAGAAAGCTGCAAAGGACTGGCTTCTGTTGGTCCTTCACGACTCCCTGGTTGGGGTCTGAGAGATGGTGCTACACAGTGGCTAGAGACGTTATCAGATATGGCTCAGAATAGAAGCCAATGGCGATCCTGCTGTAACCTTCTTTTACTTTCTTCATAAAAAGTGGTTGTGTCTCCCTTACCTGAAAGATTTCTTCTGATTGTACCTTTTCGTTCCCTCGTTACTACCACACTACCTAACACCAATCTCTTCGTTATTGTTCCCTTTTTCTTTTGCGCTCCTTAGTTTTTTTTCTACTTCTCTTCGAATTTTCATTGTTTTGTGTGGCGCATATATATTGGCGCTCTCTTGTACCAATATTCATGTGAATAAATCGCAAGTAGTTTGCAATAATGAATCTTGATATCTTCTAAATTATTTGAAGTAATAGTATTAATGAGTAAAAATGAAAATGATTTCATTTGCATGGTGAATAAAGACATTAACGCTTACATAGTGATTACGAATTTCCATGATAATATATCGCATTGTTATTGCTTGTTTCTCATCCATATCACGGATACATTCACGATAGTCTTCAATATGAGGATATTTTGCTACTTTACCCACTAATTTCCCTCTTGAGGCATAATATCTGTGTATAAGGGATAAAACAGAGGAAATAAAATTCAAGTATCAATAAGCACAGAAGTAAATACAAGTTGAAAAAAAAACTACCTGAATAAGAAAACAATTCTGTATCCTGTGTTAGAATGATATGAATGAAACAAGGCATAAATATCAACTGAATACTGTTATGGCTTGAGTACGTTGATTGGTACCCTATGTCAAAATCACTGATCACAATTCTAACAATAGTTTTTACTATCCTGTATCCAATACTTATTCTACAGCCTGCACTGTTAACCTTAGCTCCCATTGATTCATTGTTCTCAGGCCATTTTCCAGCACATAGTAACAGTTTATGCATTAGGAGAAAGCTTACAGGCAGAAAAACATAAAAATGCAATAATTTAAGCATTTAATAACTAAAGAGCAAAAATAAAAGCAATAACTTCAGATGAGACATTTCCGAAAGTTCAGATTTTCTAATAATCACCCCGTTATATAAAGGATTATTATTCATAAGAAAGTTAATCAGGTATATATTTATATATAACACGAGGCTTTGAGTCGCACCTTTAATATATGAGAGCAAATAAAACTACTCCGTCATCCAGTTGTCAACATATAAATATGCTTTAAAACTAGATCATAGAAGAAACGTCAGTTTTCATGAGATATTAAACGCTTATTTCGAACAAGGCAAGAATAAAATGGAATTTCTAAAGGAAAACAATGATTTTAAAGAAGAGACTTTTCTAAGATTTTTAATGAGTGGGTTGGTTTGTTATATCCTCTTATATCAGCATCATTAAAATATTTCCAACAACTAAAAGCAAGAAGTCTATAAACGAGGAAGGAAACCCTATTTCATATTCTCAACCTGTAATGAATAAATAAAATCTATAAATCGAGTGTATAAATATACAGCCTGATCAGCTGAGGAGATTTGCTTTATCACGGAGTGAAGGGTTGGATCGCAAGTGTGCACTACTGTGGGATACTAGTAATCAGGATGAAACAGCTATTCACCACTGCCTTGTTTAGAATACCTTTACAGCCGAAACCACTCCATGACAATCACTCACACTATATATATATATATATATATATATATATATATATATATATATATATATATATATATATATATATATATTTGCAGATAGCAATGATAACAAACCGATCTAGACAATGCTAATCTGAGGATTGATCTTTTGTGTAGTCATGAGTGAGCACTACCTCAAACCGGGACGAAAATTTTGTTTAATCCTCCCTAGCTTTCAGAAGTACCCAAAATCAGATCAATCTGTGACCAATACTACCTACAAATTTAACTGATCTCCACAAATCCACTTTGAACAAACTATAACAGTCAGCTCACCAGTGACTTACTTCAAAACATTCCCGGAGTTTAATGAGAATTTGTGAGTAGTGGGGTTCAAACATATCTGGAATGACGGTTACCAACAGCATTAGACAATCGTCATGCTATATGATATATTGATTGAGGCTAGAAATGTGCCACTGGATGTTGACCCAGTGGTCCTAATGGTTGAAGGTTCGCCACAAAGCCTGAATGTCCTGAGTTTGATTCTCGGGGGGTTGTGAGTGCACACGGCTGAGGGGCCCATACTAGGACGAAACAGCTGTCTTGTATCCCAACTGTACTCAATGTGTAACAAATACTACCTACAAATTAAACCAATCTCCAGAAAACCCCTTTACATATATATGGGAGGATTGAAAAAGTAGAGAATATAAACAAACCTTGTGACTTGATCCAAGAAAGTACATGCATCCCTCTCGATACCCGATGCTTCACCTAAAATCTCTTCTTGTATTCCTACACCAAAATTATTTCCATCTTCAATTCGTGGTATATTAAATTGAACCCATAAACGAACAAGTTGAGCTTCAATCATAAGTTGAGTTAAACATGGTTTGGTTTTCTTAGAAAGTAGAAGTATGATAAAAACTGGTTAGTTAGATTAAATATTAAATTCATTTGATGAGCTTTGAATCTCTGATGTTAGCCTAAAGCATAAGTGTTTTATAGACTTATTGGTTGAAAAATATATTGATCATTAAATTAACTTTTTCTTCCTACATACTTAAAAAAACAAAGAAATATCTAACAAATCTGAGTATGAAACCATTGGCATAAAACTCTTACGTCACTCATGACTAAAGGTCTTACTTGTAGGTAGAAAAATAAGAACTAAGAACGATACAATCATTGAAATGTGAAGGAATTAAATAAAGAATTATAGTGGGATGTCATAAAAGTTTCATGTCACTATAAATCACAGTCCACAGTTGAACCTCTAGAAACTTACGATTTTTTAAAAATCAAAACGTAAATTTCTCAATCGTGTAAAGAATAATATCCATGACACTGTTGGGTAATGATGGATTTCCGAAATAACTTGTAAACTTTACCCTCCTGTAGTTTAGTTAATGTGAATTTGAATTCATCGCCTTTCTCGTTTGTCGTTTGTCTCACTTAAAAGGAAGATGTTACCCTAGTTGGCTTGTTTATGATGTAGGATGCAATTTTGTTACACTAGCCCTATAGGGTTGCAGATAAAGTTGTCTGCTATATAATCTTTCTTTTAGTTGATAGAATAAATTTTCTAAACAAAACTTGGATTTTGTTACTACCTAGCAGATAAGAAGTCTCACTCATTGACAATTAAGTTGAAGTTGAGCTTTTTTAGCTTAGTAAATAAATGTATATAGAATTAGAAGTAACTACTGAAAATGGGGGTAAGTTTACCCGTCATTATCGTTCAGGTGAACAATTTGAAAACATACAGATACAAAACACGTGCTTTAATCTGCTCTTGAGTCATTTGAATGCATGCAGTAATAGATATTTTTTAATGAACTTGTATCTTACATTTTACAGAGTAGCTGGTATTTTCCATTGAAATAAACAACTGGCAAAGTAGTTTAAAATCCGTAATGGATAGGTGCAGATTGATAAAATACGGTTTTTTTTAAAACTGAATACAATGTTTATTTACTGATAAAGCGACACTAGGTCCTGTACAAGGAAATGAAGTTCAAATATGAATTATAAGCCAACTTTTTCAAGTTATAAAATACAGTTCTACCGGTATCGATTTCAGATGGAAAATTAACTTTTAAATTAACAATATTTGTTTAGCATCCTTGTGACAGAAGTCCTTTTCAAGAAACCAAACCATTCCATATTTACTTTTATTCCGGCGGTAGTATTTCTCATAAGATGATTATTAATATTAAATAGTTTTATACGCCTTTATCCATTATTAGTTTCAAAATGAAATTTTCCCTTTATATTGGAAATCATGTAAATTTATTGTCAGTGTAAAAGAAATTAAAAATGTGTTGAAAAAGAGTAGGACCCCATTATGGGTTGATAAATTTAATTGAACGTCTTAATCTTATCTAAAATTTTGGAAAGTTGACCTAGAAAATCAAATGGACTTTAAATAAAAATATTATTTTAATAAACGCTGACAATGGAAAAATGATATTGTCGATATTCTTACAGCTTCTACTACTTTATTCATCAATTTTAATGATGATAATATGTAATTAAATTCTTCACAAAATAAATTAATTAATCATTTGTCAAAGTCCATAAATTAATGTAATGAAAATGTATTGAAATTTAACCTTGAATTCACCTCCAAACGATATTGAATTGGTTTCTCATAAGTTTTGTTTAGAGATCCCATTCATATTTAACACAACGAGATAAATGTAATCTGTAGCAAAGGATTTTTGCCGATATTCAGCGAAATCGGACATATTGATGAAAATTTAACCACGTTTCATTTCTTCGAATCTTCAGATCAATGTATTTTATCACTCAGTTTTTGTGTTTTTAAACTTTAACGGCTACTGACTCCATGATTCTTTTTACGTCATTGTTTTCATTTACTATTATGGTGATGATGTAAAGTGATATTCAACTTAACTAAACCCTATATGCGTATCTGATGATATTGACTAGGTTTGTTTCCTTTTTAATTATATCAAGCAGATATAGATGACATATAACAAATAGCGACAGAGTGTAGTTTGTCAAAAAGAAACAACTGTCTGAAATATTACCAGGGAGTATCATATTTTAAACGTTAAATTCATCAAAATAGACACTGACCTCTATCATAGCTTTGATATGTTTATTATATGACACAGAGCCATTTGGTAAGGCGTAGACAAAAGAACCTTTACTAGGAAACTGTTGTTTATCATTGGTCAGTTTATCTGTAGCATTGGTTAAACCAGAATCCATATCATCACCAGGAGGCAACGAATTATGTGGATTAATAGGATAAGGTATATTCACATCAGAATGGACATACTTTCCCTCTAAACAAATGATGAATAATTTAATAATGACAAAAAATCTAAATAAAAAAACTAATGACACTTGAGATTAAAAATACAATAAAAATATGGTCATATGCACTGCTGAGCATCCCCATACTAGAACGAAACGGCCATCTAGTGCTTTCAGGCTTTTATTAGTCTAAATTGGAATCGGTTTGTGATTTCAGTGAAATCCAACAATCTCTACAAACCCATACCGAATATAATCATCACGCTCAAGTAAAATTTGTAACGTCACCTATGCATATTTGTGTCAGATTGTAGCATTGCTTATAACAGGCTATCTTCATACGTTATGTTAACATGAAGTAATGTGTAATGGCTATTGAAACTACCCGGTCGTTCAAACTAAAGTTAGTTGAAGTGGGATCTAAACCCTCTATATGTTGCTTGGAACTGGAGTGCTTTAACCACTAATTCACTGCTTCCGTAATTTAATGTAAAAATTCAGTATACCAAACTGACTATCAGACTGATCGATCTCTCACAACATATAAAGCACATATTTCAGGTAGAAACCAAAAGCATACATTGTAATTGTGCAATCGATAGAACAAACTGATAATTATTTAGTGACAACAGTAGAAATTAAGATGAATCCAAAAATAGGTGCAATCGTTGAAATAAACTAAAAGGAAGTCCTCTTATGTGTCCACAAGTAATTAAACGACGTTTACTAAACTCCATCAACATCGATCATAATAATGTGTCATTTAGAATCGTGAATATTATGAGTTAATAAATAGAGCTACTAAGTATTGTCGTTGATAACAGATAATTAGTTATTCAATCTAATATTGTAGCTAATCACGAAACGTGACATAAAAGTCACTATTCTGAGGGAAAATATTGACATTAAGAGGTTAATATACAATCAGAATGATAAAAAGTCAGCAACTATGGAACTAATCTGCATTACTTAAAATGGTACATGGAGCGTTTACCTTCAAGGTTTCAGTCAGTCAGTCACAATGTAGAACCCAGTTCGTATGTACACCGGTTCAAGTTGCAACAAACCGTTAGCTCAAACATGAAATTGTCAGGTCAGAATAACGGAGTTAGTAACAACAGTACGAGTGGTGATTGTAAAGACTAGGCTTTAAAGATAAGATTTAGAGTCTCAGAAGAAATTATTTAAAGCCCAACACACACAAAAGCAATACGCACAAGTAAATTAAGAATATCTCTTCACATCTGGGGATAAGTGTTTATGAATATCTTTAAGAGATCTTATGTCTAAACATTGCTGATTTATCTGAGGAGAAATTACTCACAAGACTTACCTAGAAAAAACATATCCGACGCTAATATGTCTTCCATTTCAAATACACGTTTTGGAAAGACATTGAGTACTAGCTCTTCACCATCAACTTTAGTTTTTTCTTTGTACGCATTTAATCTACCCACTTCCGTGTTCATAACGTATATCAAGTAATTCAGTAAAGTTGCTGAAGTGAAAGCAAATTTAACAAGTTAACAGTATTAATGAATATATTGAACATAAAAAGAATGAAGAACAGTACAAATACGTACCGCTTCCTTAGGTTTCATACACAAATAGAGTAACCGGAGTTTAATTTTTACATCAAAAATCAACTGAATGATAGAAGTCTTCAAACATAAAAGGACGCTTATATCTACAGCATAAATATGTAATTAAATGGTAGAGACTTACGATCAGTGTTTTGGAAAATATAATAAGCTTACATGAATTTATATTCTAAATAAACAAAGATTATTTATGATGAATACTTGGAAAACACAGAAGGGTTAAAGTCAACATTTTTAGTTATATAACATTAAAATTTTAATGTGAATATTCCTATCATGATAATTCGAAAACAAAAAATTGTCCCATATACGTATTTCTGGGTAATTACACATCAGATTTTACAAGTAGAACCGTTTATTTTGAACAATAAGACCGCATCGGTTGGTAGGATTACAATAAACGTAAATGAACAAGAGTGAAATAATTGCATGAAATCTACCCAGGTGGTCAAGCAGTTTGTTAGAAATTTGTGGGTATGGAGTAGAGGTGTTTAGAAAATAAGTTTTAAAAAATGCATGAATAATGTATAAAAAAGGACTGAAAATAATAGGAAAGAGAATAAAATAACGAGCGTATACATGGGTATAAAAAAATATAAAATAAACACTAAAACCTAGCAACATACATGACCTATGTAGACTACTCAGATATTAATTAAGAACAAGTCAGCTGATAAACGTTCAAGGACCAAAAATATCATGTGTTGCCCTAAATGAAAAAAAATTATCTTATGTGGTATGCATCTTTCCAAGTCAATTTAAAGTTCAGAACTGGGCTTTCCATCAACCAGGTGGATAATCAGGAAGTCAACCGGGCATTCCACAAATATCTTTCAGTTGTTTGAAATAGATAAAACTATCCTAGTTCTAACAATAAAATAAATGGATGAGCACCCGCAAAGTAAAATCGGCACTGACAAATAGATTTACAGAACAGTAATAGTTTAGAAACTGAAAGCACTATCGACACTAAGAAAATGGATTATCTGTATTCTGAATAGTACATGTTTTGCAATGAGAAAAAAGTTGTACTATCTACAAACATTAGGTCCACGGGATATTTTGGTTCTACTTATAAATGACTGAGTGGCTTAAATACTTTAATATTAACTGTTTTCCAAAACGGTCAGATTTATCTAGGTTATATCTCTAAGTTGATTATGACTGGCTACAACTCATTTTTAACAGCACATATGACGCTATTGTCTTGTCATTTTCGTAGTGCCTATGGTATCGAGCAAGTTTAAAGTAAGAGTTATCATAGAGGCAACATATTAAAGCTGAAAGGAATGGTTTTGAACAGGGAAAACACGAAGTAGCCAATAATAGTTTAAAATTTGTCAGGTGTGAATAAGTAACCTGGTTAGAGGAAAATGACTTTAGGACAACGTAGTAATTTATTCAGATACCTCACTGGTTGCGAAATTTGGGATTTATGCAGAAAATATTAAATGTCATGTGCTGGACTAATAGATAACCAATCAACAACGGCAGTAATATGATTTCCATTGTTAAAGCTTTCAAAAGACCACAGAACTGTCTCGCGTCTGATATAACTGAATTAATTTTTGATGAAGTCAATATACAATGTTTTTGAAGGTAAATAGTGATTGCCATCACAAATGAATACACCTATATCTAGGATATACAGTAGGTTCTGTGATCTTAGGCTTACGTTAACTAACGTTACCCTGTCACTTAATACAACACAGTTTCGTCAATCCTATTCGGCATCTTATGGCATAAGTTTGGCGTAAATTATTGGAAACGCTAGCTAGTTTCGTACATTGCTTTAAGCGTCGGTTAAAACCAATTACATATGCATTAAATAACAGGCAAACACGAGACGTATAATATAACAGGTATCGGATTTCGGCGCGAAATTCACCCAACCATTTGGCCAAATAGACTCTTGGCATTGTAGCTTATGTGAATTTGTGGTGAAGACCCTAAATCTAATTCCTAACATTAACCACCAACTGTAAATCATAATTTGAATTCCTCACACACACATAACACTTCGTTTCTAATCTCAGCCACTGAATCAAGATTTCAGATTATGATCGTTCAACACTACATTCTGAGTTAAACCCTGGGTAGGTAAAAGACCAACTAACTAAAAATTTACGACTAGTCACATTTCCAAATCTCTCTATTTTAGTGAAAATTGGCACAAAAACCCAAAGATTTCCCAAGGTCTGGAAAATTCCCCGAGATGGGGGACTGAGCTGTACCCACGATGTCACACAAAACCACTACTCTATATCTTAATAAAAAGATAAAGTCATACCGCTGAATACACACGTTGTTGCTAAAGCTGAAATATCACTCGAATTGGGCGTAGCTATAATGTAGATCAAATTTAAAAAAGAATTACTTTATTGAAATATAAACGTGGCGGGAATCGCAAAATAATCATACGTCGTTAACAAGTGGGTTGTGAACACTTTACTAAAGATATCTTTTATATTCGACTGGCTGAAAGGATTGCAACCTATACCTGAAACCCACCACGTGTAGCACAGTCCTCAAATAAACCGCTTCAAAATTTCCTCAGTCTTAAGTAATAAGAGCAGTACGTTGGCAAACATATGTTAATGTTAACAGGTTGTTTTTCACTGAAGGTCCATTTTCTACTTGAAAATGTTCACTGATGCGGCTGAGAACACTTGTTTAGGCAAGGCGTTCCAGTTTTAAGCACTCGATGAAAAAACGGAACCCCGCTCATGGAAGATTTTCTGTCTATATCATATTGATAACTAGTACTGTGTCCGATGTGTCTGAGCACACTCCTTCTAGAGTTAATTTCTAGGCCTCGACCTCGAGACCATCCAACTACTTCGTTTAGGTCAGCTTGAAGATCAAGATTATCAGCCTTAATTCTTAGTGTTTTCCAGATTTTGACATCATCCGGAAACAGTAATGACGACAACTTAAGCAATAGTGGTAATTCGCTGACGGATAGAAGGATTCAGGTATCTAAGATGTTACCTTTGGGTATACCAGACTTCTATTTAAATAGCGTTCTATTAGCCGTCACTCTCTGTATATATAACGTTCAAGTTTTAGTGCTCGTTCCCGTTACTGAAGTACAGTATATTGATCTATTTGCAATTTACCAACCCAAATTAACAAGCTCCAATTTAGGTGCCAAAGTTTATTGACAATTTATAAATAGTCTATCCAAATGTCGTTCTTCAATTTTTTATGTTCCCGGGGTAAAGACTCCCGAATACCAAACCAAAGACAGAGAAACCAAAAAGTCCAAAAATAATGATATAATGCATCCCAAAACACAGTGAAATTATTAATATCCAATATAAAGTTTTTAATCAGCCAAATTTCTTCAGTTCTCCCGTAACACTTTCTGTGGTCACATAAGATGTTTCCTATTCATTCCTGTACAGCACCTGTTATTCTGAAGCTCGAGGATTTCTGCATAAGACACAAGTGTGAAATCTTGTCAAAAGCTTTCATTGAGCCTATGAATACTACATAAATACACAGGGCCGCTGTCCATCTCCTCTTGCAATAAGTAAGTTGGTCATGCATGGATTTTTGTTTCAATACCCGTATTGCTCAGGAGTTAACAGATTGCACGATTCTATGTGACTTAGTAACTTAACGATTATGCTGGTTAGACTGACAGGTCGGTAGTTAGGTACGATATATCTCTCATCGTCTCTAATTATTAGGCGGACTATAGCATCTTTTCAATCTCTAGGGAGTGAAGTGTGGGGAAGGGACATGTTGAGAAGCATCTCGAGTAGTCTTGAAATAATGTCCTCGAGGAATGACAGCAATCGTGGATGTAGTCGATCAAGGCATGGTGTCTAACAAGGTTTAAGGTTAGCGATCAATTGAAGAAAAGTTTCCTCATCCATATATACAGGGCCTATAGCTGGTATATCAGTGGTATGAGTTGGACAAATATTTTAAACAATACACATAGAGCAGACTTCGCTGAAATAGTTCGTAAATTGCATGGCATCTTGCTATAGCCTTTTTACATATATCTTGTCGTGTCCCGTTGACACGAATAAGTCCCAAAAGTGTTTCCTACGCTTCAAAAGTTTTTAGGTTACTTTATTAATCCATGGAGGACAATGTGGCAGTTTACTTGTTGATTGTGGGATAAACGGTGATGTTACGGACTCTAATGTAGCCTTAAATGTATTCTATTTGTCTTCGATTAATCCATCCGCATCGACGGACCACTCAGTCGAGATAGCACGGTCTTTGATTGCCAGAACATTAGCCCTCCAGATATTGGAACGAGGTGGGGTGGATACACATTGTATACCATATGTCCGAAACGTAAAGTACGAAGTGATCACTATTCGCTAGTGAGGGGAATTGCTGAACGTCGATGATATTCTCACAGTGGTGTGTCAGGACCAGGTCTAACAATAACAGATCATGTTCCAAATCAATATATGTCGGTTTCGCAATACATTGTGCAAATGCACACCTAATAATGGTTAATAAAATGTCGCTATCGAAACCCTCACCAAAGCTGTGAGCTTTATCCGACTGAGATATATATATATACAATTATGAAACAACACTCGGCCTTACTCCAAGAACAGATGTATATTAGTATAAAGTCGTAACCAAAACGGCACGAACTACGTTATGCTCGTCGTACAGTCACTAACCCGTGTCTAGACTTATTTGTACAAAATTCAGCCTCGCATGTAACTAACTTGCGCCTCCGTTACGATCGATTGGACACGAAATTGATCCCTGACATAAGGCATCACGCATTCTCCCTTGCGATTTATAACTCTATCACTTTTAATATTGATGCAGCCTGCGATGATGGGAGAACAGTCTATATCTACGGTGAGACGAAGTGCCATGACAAC